ATCAGGATACCAACTGACTTTCAGCAATATATTTTATACTTCTAACAGAAATGCTTTATATATTTTTCATTTTCATTCTGAAACATTATTCAGATAGTTAATGACATATTTCCAAAACAATATTCTGTTCCTATTAAATAATACTTACTTAGCATAAAAGTTGTTGTACGCTAAAAATTGCATTTTACATTATTATTTTTAAATGTAGACAGGCCACTAATCTGAATATCCCCTGTATGCAGTATTTTTCAAACAAACGTGGAAAATAAAGTGAAGATTTTCTGAGACATCTGTATTTATCTCGGTTTTGTTGTGTCACAAGAGATGTGTAAAGAACCAGTATGTTTTCTTTGGTTTATGAAAAACTCAGGATGAAGCAGCATTTTGGTTTTAGCCATTAGCACATGAATTGGAACTCCTGATGATGAATCTTATACCAAGTTTACTCCACAGAAGTACTTTGAAGTAAAAACATATTCTAGTTAAAGATATACAAGACATACTGACATCTGATTTTCTGATCAGGTAAGATATAGGTCATTGTACTACAAACTTCTCAGCTTCTACTAATGGGTCTCAACCATGATGTAAAGGGATGACTACCATATAATTTTTCAGTTCTTCTATTAAGATTCCCAGTACAGATAGCTAAGGACTGGGAAATAGATTAGCAAAAAATGAACCTAATGTTGGCCTCAATTGCTTTTTCTTTTAAGGCCACAAAGGAGCAACAGAGTGACATCAGAAGAACTGCCATATGTATCAATGTGGCAATTCAGACAACAGGTCCCTTAGAGAAAAGTGCAGGCAGCTTTATTCAATACTCTGTTGGAATTCCAGCATCCTCAGTTCTCTCTTTCCTTCAACCTCTTGTTTGCTTCAGGTGAGCACCTAAAGGCCATTTTCATCTGAAGACATTTCTGTGAACAAAACTGGCTTCACAGAAGTGGCTTTCCATACTTCACACTGAACTGGACTACAGTCCATTTAAAAGTAGACTGTAGACATTCTGAAATTGTCTACAGTTTAAAGTGTAGACACTAGATTTGATAAAGTGCTAAATCTGCATCAAGTGAAAAATATACCAAGACACAGTGCTTAGCTTTTTGTGCAAAGCTCAGGTTATGTTAGGGTATTCTAACAGAGCCAAGTTAACAGCATTTTTCATTCCAAACTCATAGTGCATTTCTGCACCTGCTGGATGTCAGATGTTTTTGCCAACTTTTGACATTTCAGGGCTGCAAACAGAGCACAAGGGCAGCAGCAGCAACCCTTTGGTTTGCTTTATCATGTGATACTTCTCAACTATTGTTGACCCATCCAATTCTTGTAGTACCAATTTTGCCTTGTCTACAACACTCCTTAAATACTGAATCGTCTGAAGCTAAAGGTACAAATGCAGCTCTGTTCCCATAACATGCTGTTACACCACAAACACTAACCATAACCAACAGAAGCATCAGAAGCAGATTTTGCAACAAGCAGGCTTAAAGGCCTTAACACTACTCTCTGAAATGATAATACCATTTTGGTCTTGCCGTTCTAGAACGGAACCATTTCCACTACAGTTTAAAAAAAAAATTGTTTACAACAAGAAGTCTAAAATACCAAAAGGACACCAATCACTAATGAAACCTGTTCTTATCTCAAAAGCTGGTCCTGAGTCCAAAGACTAAGCTATTCCATTTTGAGTCCCTTTTTGGATCTGAGAAGGGTAAATCCAAAATTGTAATCCTCAGGCTCTCTGCTTTTAGGCTAATACAAGAAACAGCTGACGTTAAAAGCATTACAGCTTAATACTTTGTTCATGGAAATGCCTAGAAGTAATTTGGTTTTGACTGGGCTCTGATTACCTTTAATCCTACATTAAGATCTACGTCATTTTTTTCAAGACCTTGCTTGGGACTTAATCTGTAGGTGTTCCTGTAAGCATACCAGCTGGATTAAGTTCTATACAAAACACTGACAGTCCATGTCTTTTTGGAGGGGGCGGGGGGGGGATTTTAAAATTATTATTAATTTATTTTTAAATAAAGCACCTCTTTCTGCAACTGCATTATGTACAGGTATTTTTATGTTCAGTAAGTCAGTGGTTAGATGAGTCACTCAGGAGATAGGCAATATGCACTAAAGATTTTCTTCCCAAACTAAGCAGATCTGCCACAACAGCAGAATCCTTTATGAGGGCCATTCTTCCTTGCCCTGCCTTAGGCTGAAGACAACACAGAAAGCACCTCTCCCTTTTCATTGATATAGTGAAAGTGTCTATTGTGAGTTTCTGTTATCGCCTGACATCAGGTAGCAAAAGGAATACTCTTGCAAAAAGGGGTTTCGTTGCTAGTGCCCAGTGAACTTCTGAAGAACAACAGAAATGTCTCTTGGCTCTGAAGATTTCTGAGACAGCAATGCAGAGCTACTACGTGCAACTCAATACCTGTGATGTTGAATCCACACTACTCAGTGGGGATAGAAAGACAAAAGACTCATGTCAGCTGCTGCATGAAAGTTCAGTGTTCCCAGAGAACCTCATTCATGTATATATCAGCTTGGCTAAACTGGGAAGCAGGGTTTCTTGGGCAGCTACTGAAAATGCCTGGCCAGGACACTATCCCCCCTCCCCCACACTCTTCTTCTGTGTCTTGGTGACCAATATTTAAGAGATCACCTTCACAAAAACACTGAATTAGTGATAGGTGATTGAAAACCACTGAGAGTTGTGACCAGGATCTCTAAGAAGCTACTTTAAAGAGGTTCATTTCTGCCTTGATTCATTACCATTTTGGTGCTTTACTCTGTTGCTTTGCTGACAATTTGATTTTAAAAATTACATTTTAACAAGAACTTCTTTCAGGTCCTCTTATACAGCACATCTTAAAAAATTAGCACATAAAACTGCAGTTTTCAAAGACCATTGAAGTGGCAGCCTGCAGGACTGATAAGCAAACTTCTCTATGGCTGCTCTTGAATTGCTCACATGATGATTAAAGTAATGATCAAGCATTTCAGACCCCAAATGGAAAGCAAGATTTCGCCCCCTCCACCTCCCCCCCCAACTATTTTAAATCCTACAAGGTAAAAGAAGTGGGGATGGGGAAAGATGAGGGGAACTTAAGGGAAAGTACACAGCATTTCTCCAGAAGTTCACTGGACACTAGATCTGGATCTAACCATAGGAAAATTGCTTTGATGCAGGGATTGATATTCAAAAATTCTCCCCTGCCAACTTCGGTATCAGGAGTATGTCAGAAATGAGGGCGGAGATGGTGAAGGAAAAGGGAAATGCAAACATACAGTTTCTGCTGCTGCCTGAATTCTCTGGGGAGCATTCATGCCCAGAAACAGCTAATGACAAGTTATGGTATCTGAGGTTTCTGCAGATGTTTTGCTGTTCTAAGAAGTCAGATAATATCTTTCTAGATGTCTGAGTATAGATTATAGAGCTTAACATTCGGCTTTTATTCACTTGGAAGAGTTTTCAAACAGAAAAAAACTGCCAGACCATTACCAAACTTCTGCCTCCTACTATGGGAAGACAGGTGAATGGACAAATAAAGTGAAAAATTAACTGTACTTAAAGTATCTGTCTTAATCTATTAGCATCTTTGTTTCGTTAAATCAGAGCCTACTGACTTAATAATTAAGTTTTCCCTATATTATTGGTGCATAAAAGGTGAAATTTTTATACATAGCATGCTAGCAAAGTTTGAGATTTTGGGAATAAAATAAAACCTGCCAGATGTGACATGCCATTTTAAAATCCTATCTGAGCAAGAAAAAAAAGTGCTTACCTCTCATTGGAATGGGAAAGTGAATGAGACTTTGAAGAAGATACGAGATTGCATTTCAATGAATCCCTTGATTTCTGGGTTACATTCATGTCCATCAACAACTAACTAGTGCCAACACATACCTGTGTCAGATTGATGGTGAAACATCTTGCAAGAGTAAAACCAAGCGGTTTTAGGGACGAAAACTTTTTTTTTACTTAAAGTATTAACCTACTCCTCTATTATTTTTTAAATAGAAATTTTAACATTTCATTGTTGTAAAGAAAGTCTGGTGGCATAAAAGCAGGCTGTTAGCTACTTAGGAAAGACATTTTCCATTGCAGCTGTAAGCCACAATGCCTCTACAATATCAGAGAGAAAAGCGTGTTGCCCGATAGATGCTGATTTCTGAAAGAAACATTTGAAACCATCTGCTTAAGAACAGGGCTGGTAGATACTACTCAGCTGAGAGTGTAAGAGTTTGATAACCTGAGGGAAGAAAATATCCACTGAGGACATTTAGGAAAAAGTGTTACTAGTGTCACCATTTTATAGCAATTGCAGACTTCGGTTATGCTTAATGGAGTAATTTCTCCATGCCAACAAAAATATTAAGAAAACAGCACAGACATTTGAATTTATAAAGACAGAATCTGCAATGCCAGCTTCACTTTTTTTATTGTGCAACTGCAAAGCTAATACTTGCCTTCCTTTGAAATCAGACTGTAAGTTTTTAGTACAGTGGTTCGGCCACACCATTTCCACAAATCAATCCAAATCCATTTAAAATGCATTCTGTTAAGTGCTTTTATGGAAGACAGAGGGGAACTAAACCACTATGAAAGCATCTTTCCTTCCCTACCCATAAACAATAAAAGCTATCAGACTGAAGGCAGACAAACTTGGAGCCACCTTCATCATTTCAAATTCCTCCTCTTGCTTGTCTAGCTACTTCTTTATCAAAATACTTATAGCTCTATTTCATGATAAAATTTGCATGCAACAGACACTCATAAATCTATAACACAGAACCTAACAGAGGTAAAAAATTTGCATTTTGCAGCCTTATACTGTAAGAACACGTGCTTCCAATGACCTTTTAAATGTTTGGCATAACCCTGTAGGAACAGCTTAAGTCCAATAGACCTGTACAGTTTTAGAGCAATTTTGTGTAACGTGCATATCCAGAAAATTAATATTTTTTATATTTATGATAAAGGTGTACATACTAACCTGCCAAGGCCGATCCCAATCAAGAGGAATAGGAAATGCTCCAAACCAAGCTCCAAATATACTGCACATGGTAGTAATCTGTAGACTGCTTTCCCAGATGGACGTAGCTCTGTAAAAACAGTGTGATTACAAAATTTCAACAGCAGTAGAAGCTACCATGTCAGAATGTTAGATCTGATTTCTCCCAAGCTTTTGGAGACTACAAACAGATATAAAAATCCATATGTTTAATAAATGGCATGCAGGTTTCTCCTGTGTAAAAGATACAAACTATATGTAAAATGTAAGTTGCATATTTTAGCTGTAATCACAATCTTTCTATACCACATATTCAGGAGATTTTTTTCGTGTTGAGATGTTTACTGCAAAAGCTAATTTACTTTATTTGAGCTTGAAATACTGCTTGACTGAGCAAATGAAAATATCACAATGGTACTGTGTGCATTGCAGGGAGAAGCAGACATGAAAGGGTAGTATGGGATTGTATAGAAAAGCTCAAGCACAGTCACAAAGTACTCTATGGTGTAGACATGTTGTTAAGTCCACCATGTGAATATTTCGGAGCAAATTTCCATCAACGGAAAAGAAACATTGCAAATAAATGTAACCTACATGTTGCAGCCCTTCAGCATCTTTGCACCCAAGTTCAAGTACACTGGCTGCAGAATAAATTTATTGCACACAAAAGAACTCTTGCATTGCCAGTCATGATACATATCAACAGATGTTAATGACTTCAGTTCTCAGTTTAAAGCCTTCTACCACTACTGACTTAGAAAGTTTTAGAAACATTGGGTTTCTTTTTAATAGATAAGCACTGATTGTCCATCATTAGTCTACCAAGTGATTGCTTCGCTTTTCTCAATCCATGAACTTTTGAGTACTTGGTACCAATTCAGAAACAAGAGCAGCAGAAGTTCAGAACACAGTAGGGCACAGTCCTGAGACAGGAGAACTGTGTTGAAAACTCTGCTCCAATCAGTAAGTAAGAGATCTGAATCTTAAGTTTGCTACATCTCAGATTATAGACACAAACCTAGCTTTAGCTAGCAGAAGAAAAAAAAAAAATGTGCATTTTTATAGCTAGAAGACTAGATGGATAGTAAACTCTGAACTTGACACGTGCCATTTAGGTTACATGACATGAAAGCTTTAACCCTATACCTTGTTTTGAAGAGTCTAAAATTTCTGACTTTACTTTTGAGTACACCAAACTCCCTGCTGCATTTGCTATTGACCAAACGGCTCACAAGTGTAAAGCAAACATTTTTCATTGTTTGCAAAATAAAGGTCATACAGATGATAATAGTTATGGTGCAAGATTGACATTCTTTGCAGAACTATTCTTCTACAACAACCCCATGGCTTTAATTTACAACACCCCAACTCACAATCCTTCCTACCAGCTTGAAATTTTTTTTAAAGGGAAAGGTCTTGATTTAACTATAAAACTGTTTAGAGTCTGCACAAAAAAAATTCTTGTAAATTATTTTCAGAAGCTGAATGACTGAGAGGAGAGCTGTTAGGCAGCACAGGGAAGAGAACATTCACTACAGCCTTAAAGCAGTGAAAGAGCCAGCAGGATATACTGAGGACTGACTGAGGCACATTTATACCCCACAAGACATCTTATCTGGTAGATCTACACACATACTGCTACACCATATGGAGTTATCAGACTGAGTCCAAACGCAAAACAACAGAATTAGCAAGGCACAGTGCCCAAGAGAAGAACAGCCATTGGTAGTTTGGCAACCATTTCGGCTGCTAATTCAACCACTCTGCAGCATGGACGCTGGCTACTCAAATACAACCTGACTTGTCCTCCAACATTATCCCGAAGGAAGAATACTCTGATTATTCCCTTTTCTTCATGGAATGTCACCTGTTGGGATTTTTGCAGGTATTCTTTAACCCATTAACCCATCACATAAACCCTTAATTTACATGAGGCTAACAACTGCAGCAACATTTATAAACTTTGAGTTTTATAGGTTTCTATTTTTTTTAACTGTGAATAAACAACAACTAAGATCATTCTGCAGGCAAAACTAGCAATATTTAAGATAATAAATGATCGCCAGTGGCACAAAGGCCTTTTGAAGCCTAAAGTAATTATTTAACCTCTTTAGATAATACAATACATTAAGTGCTGTTTTAAATAATGTTTGAATTAAGAAGTTAGCTAACATAAAAGAATCTACTAAGACTGCAAGGATAAGATCTGGAATTCTGGGCTGAATCAGGACTGAAATACTAAGCAGCACTTAGTATTTGATGATGCCTACCTCTACAAAGGACATTTCCAAGTCTGTAAGAGTATGCAGTTTACAAACAAGTGATAAAATAGGTGAAATGAAAACTGGAAGGACCCCTAAAGGTAGGGGTTTATACTATTTTTGGCAAGTTCCAAATAAAATCTATTTCCTACCCAGGTAACAATTACTATTACACCAGAAATTTCAACACAAGTACTCAGATGTGATTTGAAATAAACAGTCTCCAAAAGGAGCAATAAAAATCAGCAAGTGAAAGCTGATTTTTTAAACGCCTTTATGCAGGAGGCTATTTCAGCCAACAGTTACTGAAAAGCCATTTAAAGAATAGCCACTTGCTCCCATTAGTGCCGGTAGCTTTTATTTCTCTCTCTCTGCTTACAGCAGCACATGATAGCGTATGATCAGTGTCATGACATTGGTCACAACACTAGATGTCAGAATACAGAGTCCAGAGACAGCTGGCATGGACCCACGACCCACCCCTTGCCAAATGCAGAACTAGTGAAGAGTCCTATTTACAGCCTACTTAGAATTGAATTTTTTACAATGTAGAATACACAAAGTTACTTTTCTCACACATTCTGTGTGTACATAGACTATAAATATGTGGGTAAGAACAAATTATTCAAATTTCTTAAAGTAATTTAAAAAAACCCCAAACCTATTTGGTCTATGAAATTGACATTTCCAATTCAAAAGTGTACTCAGTTTGAGAACGTGGAGCATGTGCAATTTACTGTCTGAGCTACAACTGTGTTTTCATGCAACTGTTTCATGTACAGAAAAAAAACCCAAACCCCAACCAAACACCACCTCCCCTCCACCCCATCAACAACCCAAACTTTATAATACAAACAAATATACTTGCAGTGTTACAGATTACGTGTTATCATGAGACAGCGCATACAATCCACCTCCTTAAAGGCATGGGCACTTAAAGACTGATCTCATAGTAACCTTAATAGAAGTGATTTTCCTAGCAGTGACTACACTTTCAAGTACTGCAAATAGAAACAGAGAAAACTACGCATCTCTGCAGAAAAAATAAGCACTTTGTAAGATTATCCCCAAAATATTTAAATTGGATTGACGCAGTTGTACTATAGCTATTATGATGCAATAGACTACGTACAAGTTACATGAATGCAACTTTATAATAGGCCTTTGACAAGACATTATGCGCATCAATATTTTCAGGCTAGACCACCTAAAACATAGCAGAAAGCTATCCAGAGCAACAGCTAGGTAATTAATATCTGTTACTTATTTACACTTGAGATATCAAGATAAACTTTCTTTTTCTAGAAGTCTTTTTCTGTCTTTCTGCAAAGCCAGTAGCACAAGCACATTTTGATCTTAGAAATATTGCACAGGCAAATAAGAGTAACAAAAATAAATGCCTGTGGTTATTTAAGTCTAAGTTGTATTCAGATACTTTTAAAACACATTCCTTTTTCATACTAAGCTACATGCTTAATCAGACTTTCCAGCTTGCTATTCCAGTGCAATTCAATTCGCTAAACTCTTCTTTCAAGGCAAACAGCTGTGTTGATCTTACCTAACCATACTTTTTGTCCATTCAACCAGTCCCACCTCATTCCACATAGTTAAGTTAGAGACAACCTTTTAATATATCACGTTTACACTTGGCTCGCACCTAAACACAAGATGTTGCAACTTATTCATGAAGTCAAATGAAAAAACACAGGATCAATTTTAAAAGAGCAGCTTGCTACAATCCATAAAAAAATTTCTACACTATTTCTTTGTAGTCTACTTTCATTCAAAGGCTAGTCTAAATAAACATAAATATTAAATAGACATTTTATTCAGATAACATCACATGGCTCACTAGTAAGAAGTATGTACAAATTGTCACAGAAAAAATGTCAAAACAAGACAACTCTGTTTCCCGTGCATTAATTGTGCTGACATAACATTAAGATCTAGACTAGGAAAGAAAGAGATTGACAGGCATTCAAAATCTAACCTGGCACAAAGATAGACTGTTGTCAAACATCTGTTACTTCAATTCAACTATTATTTCCAGTTGCAAAACCTCCAAAGATGACTAAATGAATCAGCAATGATTTGTTTTGGCTAAACAACTCCATGCTTTTTAGAGTCTATTCAAACCTTCTGCTGAAAATAAAAAACCAAACATAACTGACTCGAATAAGGATTCAAGATATTTTTCAGTAAGCTGAGAACTGAGATAAACCAAAAGTCAACACCTGAAACCACTATAAAAAGTCTACTTTTGTTCTCCTCTACAAAAGTTTAAACCAAAAGTAACTCCATGGGTCAGCAGCATCATACAAGTTCTCACTTTCTTTTGAGATGAGACTTCACCCTTATGAACTATTAAAAGGTGTTAACTGAATGCTAACATCTTATTATTAAATCTCAAGCATGTGTGGGGGCTTCTTTATGTTTCAGCATCCCAGTCTTTCAACAATTTTGTTATTTGGTGAATGAAAAAAGGCAGAAGACATAGAATACTTCTGAAAAATACATTATCCTTTATACATGCCAATGTCACAGAGGTGAAAGTGAGGTAAAAAGGCTCTTTAAACATACTCTAGAAAAAAAATTAATGCTTGAAAACTCTGACACTGAAAACAGCTTGCTTTGAAATTTGAAAAAAAGCATGGATAAAGATCACATACTTAAGACCACAGTAAATTATATATTGTTTTCACCATTATATTCAAGTTAAAATGCTGTTAAAATAGTGTTTGTTTTGGCTTGTTATTCCTCCTTTAAAAGCTGTATTTACAGAAGTACTATTGGATCATGTGCAAGATTCTCCCTGTACAGCTCAGTCTCAGGTCTCCTTTTTATTTGGCAACCTTCATACCAGAGTGCACAAAAATAAAAAGCCAGTTTTCTAAATCAAATTTCCTCAAAATAAATAGTAATTTTGTCAGAAGAGCTTTCATAAGCCTGTAATTACAAATATGAAAAACACCCATAATGCAGGAAGTTTTCCCTTCTTTACAAAAAATTCCATGATACATTCTTTACATCAATTCTGTCCATTTCTATTCTGGGTAAAATCAAAAACTTTAGAATAGAACTTACCCATTTTTACTAAATACCCGTATCCATGCTTGTATATTTGGTCCCAGCGTACACAAGCATTGTAAAGTAGTAAAGGTAGACAAGAGAACCGCAAATAAAAACGTCTCAGTCACTGACCTACAAAGAAGGAATATTACAAAATTAAGTGACATAGTTACTGATTTTCTAAGAGTTCCAAGATTTAGGAAAAAAAAAAGAAACCCTCTAAATTAACTTGTGAAAGCATGAATGCTTTCTTAAACCTCATGTAGAAGAATAAAGTATTTTCTTCTTACTCTGTAGAATCGTAAAGAAAGATGGAAGGAATTCTGGTATCTGTTATCTCAACAAAGACTGAAATGCAGTAATTACTTTAAATGCCCGATACCTGTAACATTTTAAAAAACACAGGTGTACCTCATATAGAACATTAGATCTGAATTGAGGTACACTTGGATATTTACTTCATTATTCCATTTCTTTTTCTAGTTTGATGTTGTGGAAGCAACCATGAAACCAAACTACATGATGCCATTGTTAGTCAGTAACTTAGTATCTCGCTCAGAAATCAGGCTTGCTTCATGCCTCTTTTTTTTTTCCCTTTTTAATCATTCCTAAAAATTAAAACACTAATATCAAAAGGATGAAAGACTGCAAGAGGCACGTTTTAGAATCTTATGGGGAAAATGACTAAGTGAAACTTGGAAAAATGTTTGTACCATGTGTTTAACATGTAAAAGTAAAAGGAGTTGTTTGTAACTGTCTCGAACAACACATGTCCAAAACACAGAAACTGTAAGGACTGGCTTCTAAAAAAAAAAACAAAAACAAAACCAAAAACAACCAAAAACCCCAACCAACCAAAAAAGAAAACCAACCCCAAAACCAAACCAGCCACCCTTCTTCCCCCAGCCAGGAGCTTATCCTTTAACTTCCAATGCACCGGGAAATAGACAAGTACTTATACCAATATCTGCAAGGAGGACTGCCCCTTACAATGTTTAGAGAAAGATAGGGTCTTCTGACTTACTCTATGAGAGGTGCTCCATAAAGAACAATAATCGCATGAAATAGTATGCAAGACATGAAAAAGTATATACAGCATTTTAGAAATCTGGATATCTAAAAAAGAGCAATAAAGTATCAGAATAATGTTTCAAAAGAAAAGAGAACATAAGTAACATACGTAGTCTATATCTTATCAATAGCATTGCACTCTATTTCTCTAATTTCATCTACAACACAGTATGATAATAGCATGGCATGTTTCAAAACATTTTCCCTATGTTTAATACTTTAAATAATTAATTAAAAATGATCACACCATATAAATTTTTTTCATGCACCCTATGATAATAAGGCAAACATACAAAAAATATCACTGGAAATGACAAGATAAACAGAGATAATTTTATTGGATATTTTTACATTTCTGTTTTACATCTGGGTGTTATGTCCATTCATTAAAAGGCATCTTTCAAAGAAAGTAAAAAAAAAAATATTTAAAAGAAAATATGCAATATGAAAAAAAAAAAAAAGTGTTATGTCCATTCATTAAAAGGCATCTTTCACAGAAAGTAAAAAAAAAATATTTAAAAGCAAGAAAATATGCAATATGAAAAAAAAAAAAGACATTCAGAATCAAAGGCAATACTTAAAGTTACGTGAAATAAAAACCACTACATTTTGAACTTGGCATCTTAATTTCTAAATCCATTTGAGAAATGTCCACAACTTACTTTAAATCTGCAAAACACATATAATTTCCTACGAATTTTAACAACAGTTTCTGGGTAGTCACTATGTCATAAGCATAGCCATTTAATAAAGCAGTGCTAGTTAGATCTGTTCTGATAAGGTCACCATTAGAAATCCATAATTTCACTTGAACACTTTTTTAAAAAATATATTTACTCCTTATGCTAGGCTGGGATGAAGTCTCACCTAGAAGACAAAGCCTGCTTCGTTTTTAAATCACAGATGGTTAAAATACTTGTTTTCCATAATGACTTTGTGTATTCGCATCACTCTCAGTCAGCCAAACTAGACAGAAGCTTTGCATACAAAGGTACTGCTTTCAGGGATGTTTGCTTAAATGTTTAAAAATCACCACATCAGAGCCTGACTCGGCAAGTTGGGAGTGCAAGACTATCCACCCGACTTCAAAACACTAGTGTATTTCCCTGCTCCTGAACAAGCTGTGTGCTGCTCCAAATTCGCTCTGTTCAAACCTATCTCCTTGGGATTCATACCTTTAATGCTCCTGTTACAAACTGCAGCTACAAAAATTTCTCCCAGATTTAGATTCTTCTGTACGTAAACGTCATCATTCAAGGAAACGTAAGCATTTTAATACTTTTCCACAGCACTTTTTAAAATTTACCAACTTTGTTTAAATTATGATGACCTAGTCTATCTTAAGTCTCAAAATCTAAAAACTATTTCTCTCCCTGTAAAGTCATCAGAAGCTTGTAACTACACATGAAAAAAGCGTTTCTTCATAATGCTGAAGGCCAGGCCTAGACTATGAAATGAGTTCTGTGCCCATTCAATTTTGCCGATTTTTGCCACCATGCAAATTGTTGGAAGATCAACAGCTGGGACTACAACCAATATATTAATGAGAAAAAGGCACAGAATTGCTCACCTGAACGGGTTGTTTACAGTTAGAGAAAGTTTAACATCACGAAAACATTGAATTTCTGACAGATTTGAAAGAACTTCCAAAAGGCGCTACACTCGGCTCATTCATGGAAAACAAGAATTCACCACCAAAAGTTGTCCTCCTCCTTCCTCATTTAATTATTTCAGTGAAAGAATTTGCTTCCCCTCGGTATTGTCTGGTAGCAATTTAAGAACAACAATCTTACCTTGTGAGCAAATGAACTTCTCTTGGGAGACAGATTTGGTTTAAGGACTAAGTGCAAGATTACATTAAAGGTACTAACGCAAACAGAACAAATACACAGCCACGCGAGGTGTGTTCCCAAAACCGTGAATCCGTCCCAGAAGAAAGCCGGCAGAACCGCTGTCAGAATAACTGAAAAAACGCAGAGGAGGTTGGCAGCCAAGAGCCTCCTTATTTCTGCTTCTTTCATCGCGTCCCCTGTTAACCGGCCACCTGCAAGACAGCAAGTCGCACCCCGTTACCGAAACACAGCGGAAGCGCTACAGGGTAAGGTCTTTGCCCAGTCGCAACACGCAAGGCAGAGCTTAGTTTGGGGGCGAAAGTGATCGTTTTGGGGCATGAGAATGTCGTTCGTTTAAAGTTCAACCCCGCACCCACGGACAGGGCAGCGCTGCGCTGCGCTAGGAGAGCCGGGCGA